AGTGTGTGTGTGTGTGTGAGAGAGAGAGAGAGAGAGAGAGAGAGAGAGAGAGAGAGAGAGAGAGAGAGAGAGACTGCTATGTAGTCCAGGCTGGCCTTTAAACTTGGTGTGTAGCCAAGGCGAGCCTTGAACCCCTGATTTTCCTGCCCCTACCTCACAAATGCTGGAATTGTAGGCATGCGCCACCTGTAGTAAAGACACCCCATTTTTGTCCAGGGAAATGGCCAGGCCTCCTTGACGGTGGAACTCTTCCACTCAGCCACTCTTGGGAGCTGTCCCAAAGTAAACACATGTATGCAGATGTCTCTGTGTGTAAAGGAGCAAGTGTGTAGTGTATTTACACACATCTTCATGAACAAGACTCCAAGCACTGGGGAAAGCACGTTTTTTGTATTTGCTGCTTGTTAACCAAGTAGGTAATGGAGGTGCAGAAAGTTGGTAGAAAGTCTCGGTGTTGGTGGGCCAGAGAGGAAGATTCCCTGATGACATCATCCTGGTGGCCCTGCTGGGGCCACTATAAGTGACAGGCATGTCAGAGGACAGGATCCTCTTCAAGCAAGGCAAAACTGAAATACGTGCACAGGCACGGCTACATGGGAGAGAAAAGCAACCCCAGTTACCCAGACCAGTGACCACCGAAGGTGGGACTGAGACTGAGGGGGTTAGAGATACAGATAGGACAGTTTCAGAGAATCCGGGTCAAAGTCAGCTCACCTCCGCATTGCCCTGTAAAAGGAGGGACAGGAAAGTGAGGCGGACAGGAGACAGGAGGAAGTCGTCCTGTGGTCCCATAATAACCAGCTCTCCTTCAGCCAGAACAATGTCTTCCCATGTTCCTGTCCAATCTCCACATCCTGTTCCTCAGGTGGAGAAACTGAGGCCAAAGATGGCTCGGATGTAACTTAGCTGGTCCTCTACTTAGACTCATCTGACCCTGGTAATCACTGTGCTCGCTGACAACCCAGCAAGCAATAAAGTCACTTTCAGCCACTCTTTCCATCCAGGACTTGAGGGAGGGTGTCCACATGGAGTCTGGATGCTGTGGAAGTCCAGCTAGAACCTCTAGGGATGAGTGGACCATAAATTGCCTCCTACAGGGTCAGAGGAGGCAAGGGCAGGCTGACAGACCTAGAGCTCCTGGGGCCATCTTCAGGGCAGAGACAAAGCCTTGGCAAGGCGGGTCCAGAACCAGGACTTGGTGCAAGGGTTGGTATAGTCACAGATAGTGATGAACCGCAGGATACTGGGGAAGTCCTTCTTCATCGCCTTGTATTTGATCGGAATCAGCCGCTTCTGTTGGACACCTGGAGGCCAAACGGTGTGGTATTGGGACCAGGCCCCTGCCCTGTGGTGGGGCAGACCCTGTCTCCAAAGCAAGGGATAACACCAGTGCCCCACCAGCTAGGTACCCATGGTACATATCCACGACATAAAGAACTTCGCAGGTACACTCATTCAGAGATCTGGCATGCTTTGGTCCTGCATGCTTGGTCTGGAATCTTAAGGCTATACCTCTCCTCCCCTCCCTGACAAAAGCAGGCCAAAACTTACCTGGAGAGAGGCTGAGAGCAAACTTGGTCTGGAAATCGCACTCCTTGCTCTGTAAGTAATCATCAGAAACAACCACCACCATCCGGCGACACCTAAGGGAGAGCGGCAAAACGCAGGCGTCCTGATGACTTCCTTCAGCTTACCCCCAGAAGCTAGCCTCTGGGAGGATCACGGTACCCAGGCTACCCAGCATAGAGTCCAGATGGCAGGGGAGTCCTAGCCTCTGGACCTCACCCACCTGCCCACTGGGATGTCTCACCAACCTTTTCTCAATGAGCTCACTGGCAATGGACCAGACACAGGTGCCTGGCAGGACGTCTCGGTCGGACACACACAGCTTCAGCCGATAGTCTGTCTGTTCTAGCTGCCTGATCATCTCCTGCACAAACTCAATATCATTGGGGCAGTAGCAGATGAAGGCATCAAAAAGCTCTGGTGTTTGTCCTGAGGACAGGGGACAAGGGTAATGGTCAGCCGCCTGCAGGAAGGCTGGAAGGAGCCCAACCTGAAGTCATTCATCAGGGGAACCAGGGCCTGCACCCAACCGGAAGTGATGTCTTACACATGCCTTCCCACCAGTGAAAAGATAACTCCCTCCCAGATGAAAGCTGGGTTAACTGTGATGGAGGCATGCCGTTATGGTCTCAGAAGCACTCAGAGATAGGGCTGCTTTTATACCCATTTCTTTTTTCTTTTTTTTCTTTCTTTTTCTTTTCTTTTTTTTTTTTTTTTTTTTTTTTTTTTTTTTTTTTTTTTTTTTTTTTTTTTTTTTTTT